GTGGGGTCCTGTGCAGAGCAGCGGAACAGTTTACGTGACAGGAGTATCTAAGGTCCCAAGACCGCCGCGCCACGTAGAGATCTCCACGCGTTGGACAGACCACAGCCAGCCGACGTGGCCATGGCTGCGCAGCAGACAGTTACTCCTCTCCTGATCTTTACTCTGAGGCCTCCGCGTCTACCCCTCCGTCTACGCCGTTTCTTGCGATGAGAGATGCAGCGAGGTAGCCGACGAATACACTCGGCAGAGGAGTGAATGAACGAGAGATGGCATCTGCAATGTGGGACAGCATACCCATTAGAGACCACCGAGGAATAGTTGAGATCCAGTAAAAACTGCCAATCATAAATCCATGGAGAAGCATCGGAGCAGTGCCAGATCAGTGCAAACAGAAGCACGAGGAGCCAGAACACAGATCGGACAGGTAAGAGCTTACGGGGCTGACGGCAAGCCGACAAACACACTGGCGCCATCTTGCTCCCTTCAAGAGTTGAATCCCAGTATCTGCTATCCAATCAACATCTCTTTCAGGGAAGACCTTCCATTTTCCAACATGACATGGAGGGGTAGAATGGAGAATGTACTGCGATTCCCTATTACTTAATCCAACTCAGAGCTGATCACAACATGCAGATCCAACTCAAGCTTGTTCGACCTACAGTGACCTACCTCTTCCCCAGCATCATACTTGCACCAACTAGAGAGAAGGGTCGCAACACATTGGTCTCGTTCCATCAAACCTCAGGATGGGAAGATAGCCATAAGGCAAACTTAAGCTTTTATTTGCCAGCTTTTGCAATGCTTACTACTGCATTCCTCTGTGTTACAGAACCAGAAGTTAAGGATAGTGTTCATCTCAACTCCAAACTCTGCCCCAAAGACACCTGGCAAACGGTGTCCTGCTGACTAGCGTGAATACTTGCAGGGAAAGCCCATTGGCTCAGTTCTCAGCTTAGAAGCAGGAGTTAAGGGAATATCCAGTGTTGCCGTTTCAACCGTAACCCTTGGTTATCTAAAGAGTGACCCAGATTTGGAGGATGGCTCTATTATGGACCTCACCAAAACATCATCTCCTCTCAAAATGGAGAGCCACAACCTTGACTACCTGAAACCAAAATATTCCTCTGACCCGCAGTCCCCACGCTGTCCAGAGACTGGCTCCCAGGAAAGTGACTCTGATGTGATGCCACCATTGTGTCTGACAGCCTTTTGAGCGTTAAGTCTGGTGAGTAAGAGAGGTGTCCCATTGAGAATCCATTGAGTTGTACTGTGATGAGAGGAGAAGAGATCCAGAGTTTTCTGCCAACGGTCATATTTTTCAGGAGTACACAGGCATGGGGGTGGCTGCTGGGGGGTCAGAGGAAGAGGGGGTGCAAAGCAGGCAGGTAGACATGTG